TGCGTCGACTCCCCGCAGCGTATCCGCACAGCAGATCGGGCAGAGGTTACTCCGCTGCTTCCACGAGAGCAGACACGGGAGGTGGAAGTGGTGGTGACAGCTCCCATGCACCTTTGGGTTCTCCCTTGTGTAGGGCTCCAGGCAGATGCAACACTCCTCCTCCACCTCCTCCAGGGCCAGCTCCGTCGGGGAGGCCGAGGCCGAGACCACGGAGAGGGAGGACGCCGCGAATGGTGGTTCGCCGTCCTTCCCTTGGCTCACCGTAGAAAGTTCATGGGGCGGGGTGGAACACGTGAAGGGTTTGGATTCGGATTCGGATTCTCTAATGGAATGCTCATTTTCCATGACGTAAATAAGGCCTTTGGGATATTTATTCATCGAAGGGGTGACCTCCTCGAGGAAGGGAAAACAATTCAGGGATATTTTGTCATCACGAAGTTTGTTTAGACGCCTTTGGGATTGGCCAACCTCTGTAGGTCTATTCTGGATGTCATGATCATGGATTGAAGCGAAATCCATCGGTATATATGACTGGCAACACGCCTACAATATACTTCGCTTGAAGAGTATATATATGAATGTGTGTATGTAAGAATAAATGCTCACAATATCGATTTTTTATTCTAAAAAAAAACTATGAAAAATACTAGGTTAAGGCCTTTAATAAGGCAACGAATGCAAAAGAAGCTTTCTGGAAATAATAGAAGCAAAACTATAACCAAAACAATGCGATCTACCTTTGTATCGATCCGTTTAGGGTTTTTGCTGTGAATGGTAAACCAAACTCATGCAAATAATGCCCCAAGTCTAAAAAAAAGGAAGCAGCAAAGCGAAAGAAACTTAGTTGATTATCTAGCAAGATGCACAGAATAAATTATTTTTGATGCTTATTCCTTCGCAGGTTCCTAATAAAAAAAGCTAACTCACTTGTATTATTTACGCTTGAGATATTTTTAAGAACGCTTTAAACTTCTTGATATAAGCAAGGTATTTTTATAAAAAGAAAGGAAGAATCTATTGTAGTATCCTCGCCACAAAAACTCCTACTGTAATGAAAAAAACCGTAAAGGGCAATCGGGTGAGAGTGATATCCGTATAAAAATAAGTATACTAAGCAAAAATGGGTAGTTTCATCGAGCTTACAAACACAGACAATGAATTCAATTAAGGATTAATTTTCAAAATTCTGACATGCGACTAATTTTGCAACCATGAAGCAAAATACGCCTGGTTTTACCGTAGTATTTCTGTTCGTACTCCCGCGTTGGTTGATGTTTTGTTCAACTCCGGTATGCATGCGAAGCTGCAACTTTTCACTAATATGTATAATTATAGCAAACAAAGGAAAGCACCCGCACATATGTACACATGTATATATGCATGATATGTGCATTTTGCTGCATCGTACCTGAGCAAAAGGGTAGCCTTTTACACGTTAAATGATCTTTTTCGTTTATCATTGGTGACTACAAACCCTTCATCAAGAAGTTTCTTAATTTTCCCCTTTCATCAGAAAATCTACATAAGAGGAGCTGCTTCGAGTCCCTCACGATCTTTGATGACAGCGATAATAGCAGAGGTATGAAGACAACCCATTTCGCATACAATCATATCGACATACGTAGCAGGAGTGAGGTCATACAAGTACCCTGACGCACTCGAGGACCCGTAGTGCATCGCATTGATATCTTTCAACGAATTGTAATCATCTGGAATCCGGTGTTGCGGATCATTCGCGAACACTCGTGAAGGAGAAAGATTGTGTATTAGTGGGCTGTGGGCGCCACTCGAGTTAAACGAGGGCTGCTCGCGAATATCGACAAGTTTGGTATTCTGCGCCAGATTCCCGATCCACACCTCGGCCGCAAACTTGTAGCTTTCCACGAAGCACAGGACGGGCTTCCTAAAGGACTTGGCGCAGGCCGCCACGAGGGCCGTCCCGCAGCGACTGAACACATCCCCACTCTGCAGAACCGAGGAGGCGCCGATAAAAACCTTAGTGCACTTCGGGATCAGCATGCAGGATGCCGTGATGAGGCCATAGGTGACTTGAATACCGGCGTCCGAAAGTTTATGCGCCAGCGCCCGGCCCTCGAAAAGGGGGCCGGAGTCCACAACAATCACGCGTTTTGGTCGCCGCTGCGGATCCTCCACCCGGGAGAGCAGAATAAACTCTACCACGCTACTGCGTCCAAAGACTAGAATAGTGTCTTGATTGGACACGTAAGGCAGCGACCTATCCTCAACGATGGTCTTGATCGACATGCACAGCTCGGCCTCCAAGGAACCAAGGAGCTGCAGTGCGACCTCGCGGGGGTCCCCTAATTGGCTCCCTTTATCACGCGCAGCCACCATTCGCTGCAAGAGGGCCTTTTTCACGTAGTGCATACCAACCGACGCCTCACGTTTGCGCCGCAGAAAGGCAAAATTCTCCTCGACAAGTTTTTCAAAGATGGTTGTGTTAACATCCTTAAGCGAAGATCCTGCTAAGACGGCGGTGCACTTGAGCATCTCGCTGAAAGCATAAATCGTGGCCATTGTACGCGCATTTCCTCCAACAATCCGCATTTCTTCTATCATTAACGCAACCTCGGCTACACGGGGGTGCACCACAGATCGTCGAGGCATGAAATGCTTTCTCTGTATGTGGTTATTCGATTGCATTGCCTGCTTCACGAGCTCCTGAAGCTTTCTACGCGCCTCCTCAACGTCCTGCTGCTCCTTGACCTCAGCACCTTCACCTTTTACCACCTTGTCAGTGGGGTGAGCTGTGGAGGTGGGCTTACTTGCATTTTCTAATGGCGACACTTTCACACTCGGTGTGGAAAGCGGGGCACTAGATACCTTCTGAGTTTCGCACTGCAAATCCCCCTCCATCGAAATAATTTCCTTAAGAAGCTGAGCCTCCTCCCCTTTAGTCTGAGCAAACTCATCCTCGTCTGACTTCAAACTCTTCAACTTCTTCTGTACTTTATTCAAAGCATTCTTCTTCTTCTTGATTTCCCGTTGTATTTTGATTGATGCTCTAGCATTTTCTGATTCCTGACCTTTAAAGCGCATCTCTGCCAGCTTTTTTGCCTCTTTCTCCTGAATTTGGGAGTTCTCAGAGTCAGCTGGCTTGGCTTCCCCAGAAGAATTCTTCTTCATGCCTTGGGAAGTGCCTTTGGCGGGTTTTAGCGTCTGCTCGCCTCCGTGAACGTTGTCACTCGTCTCCAAAGCCTCTTTAGGGGGGCACCTCGTCTCGTTTGTTTTGTGATCTTTTATGTGAGCCATTTCCACCTATTAATGAACTATTATGGTTAATAAATACAATGTGTAAGCTGCGATATGATTATATATAAATAAATATATATATATATATAATCATATATCCTGCTTATCAAACAATAAACAAAATTGAGTGTTTACCTAACAGAATGAAATTTATGAGAAAACCATCATCAAAATAATGTCAATCAAATACATGAAACTGACTTTTTCCCCTGGGCTGAAAATAAAGGAATCCAGTTGAATGAGACAAGTGTTATGGAGCAAAATGCAATGAAGTACGAGCGTAGGAAGAAATAAATTTATTAATAAAAATCATCTCTACAGTGCTAGGAGTTTATGATAGTAAATAACAATTGTCAGACCCCTTTTGCCTTTATGTCCCAACAGACTCATAGTTCCACATTACAGTCGATATAAAGTGATGTCTATAAGAGGATTCCCTATTCTTCATATAAATAGTGATTATAAAACAAAATGTAAAAAAAAGATACACCTCATGATGCGGATGGGCCCTTCACTTTACCCTTTCTCTTTCCGCTTTCCAGTTGGTGTATAGAGGAAGTATGACACTCATATACGAATATTTTAATGTATATATGATTATGTCTTCATTTTTTATCCACTGAACACTTTGAGTTAACATTTTTCTATTAATACAGCCTCATGATTCCGTTCATCAAGCTTAGACGCGCTATTAATCTCTCGTAACTTTTTCGTTTTTTAATCGCGCCCCTCCTACTTAATGTAAACCGAAGAATGATAACGGTCCCTATAGCACAAGGAACAGAAGAACAAAAATCCTAATCAACTAAGAAAAAAACAACTGAAAAAATCTAAATGTGGGCAAAAACACCCACTATAATTTAAATAACTAGTTTGAAAATAGAGCGCCAGCGCTACATTCACTAAATATGCTTATATGAAAGCAAAAACGTTCATTTGGTGTGAGTTCAAAAAAAAACGGCTAAATAAATATGCTCAATAGATCTCGAATAAAAAAAACAGTTCTGCTTCCTATGATACTTTTTACACTTTCCTCCTTCGTATAATTCGCATCGTGTCCAAACTATTAGATATAGCTTCTATTCATTATTGGTGTATTATGCATTAGAAGTCTAATGTATCTTGGTACGTCGATGGCTCTTTGAAGAACGCTGTTTATTAGCGCCAGTTTTTTGCAATTGCGCTAGCTCACCTTCCAACAGAGAGATATTTAATTTGTTAAGTTTTTGCTCACGGGCAGCTTCCTTCCTAAGCAATTGGATTTTCCGCAGACTGTTGTCATTGACAAAGTTGAGTTCCTTTTTAGCTCCAAGAATGGCCCGATTGATCGCACCCACTTTATATTCCATTTTCTCGATCTCAGAATCCAGCTTATCCATATGTGCACAGGCCTCGGCATGTAAGTCGTACAGAGCATCAATATCAACCACTAACCGATCTGCCACCTCTACATCAACGCGCTCCTCGCCATCGGACTCGTCCCCGGCGACGGCCTCCCCAATTAGCTCTAAACGCTTCTGGGTCTTCGCTATTTGCATGGCGCGGTGCCGGATGATGGCATCGTTGCTCTTGAGCTGATCGTCCTCGCGCTCGAGTGCCCGGAGCGCAACCTGGAAGTCATTGTTAACGCCTTTAAGAACCTCCTCCTCCGGTCGGTGTGTTGTCTTCTTTTCAATAAGACTATTCTTTGTCTTCACGGCGTGCTCCAACTGAATCCGCTTCTTGCGTAACTCAGACAATTTGGTTGTTTTATCCGCTAGAACATTCAAAGCCTCCTGTTTTTGTTCCTGGGCGTTAACCGTATCTTGAATCAAGGTAGAAAGTTGCCAAAGCTCGGCAGACTGATTGTTAAGCTGACCCTGCAGAAGTTCACGTTCACGGTACATTTCCACTAACTCTTGAAGCTCACTGTTAAGTTCATCTTGCGCTTGAACGAGCTGCAAAGGCCTCGATTCTTCATCCATGTTTGAGCGGTTAAGCTCCATCAATTCCGTGTACTCCTCGTCCATGTGCTGAATGTCATTTTCAAAATTCATTAACATGGACGTCAACCTTTCCTTCTCAAGCTGCAGCTCGCGATGCCTTTTAATGCTAGACTGCGTATCACCTATTCTTTGACTCATTTGATCAATGAGATCTGGAAAATGAAATGCAAGTTTATTACCCCGCGACAATCGATCCACGCTCTTGGCTTGATCCGGGGAGTGGGAACTCACATCGTGTTGCTGGTCCCCCTGGCTTTGCCGCTGAAACTCCTCCGAACGATTTCTGGTGGATTCACTGAATATTACATCGCGCTTCGTTGCCTCTAGACTCGCTACCTCATTGCGTAAGAACTTGGCTTGCTTCTCCAACTCGCGGAGTTTCTTGCTCAAGACTGCTACCGAAGACATGAATTTATGTCTTAGTAAAATCTATAAAATGCCGTTGGTGATTTTCCTGCTTAGTGCTGGAAGAGAATAGATACGAGCGCAATGAAGGAAGATGAAGAGGAAATAAATTGACGTTTGAACCTGTTAATAAGATGAATCCGCAGTAATAAGAATATTTGTAATAGAAACGAACTCCTATAGTCTGTAGAGGCTGTGCTGTGATAGAATATGCATATGAGTCAAATAATAGTTTATTAACGAAAATATTAGAGAAATCAAAAAAATAGAGGTGAACCAAAATTCATCATGTTTTCTGAAAAATGGGGCTAGTTCTTTACAGTGACCCATTCTCTCCCCAAAAAAACAAAAAATATCGTCTGAACAATCCAAATGTTGCGCTAAATAAGGGCCTCAGGAATGCCTTTAACTAAGTTATTTAAGTCGATAAGAGAGCAAAAGTACAGCTAATATACATGCATGTATATATGTTTTCTTAATGCTCAAAAACTGTACACACACTAAAAAAAGACGTCAAGAGATCAGTGTGAAACTTTAATATTCATTGTAGTGCAATACTGAATAAACAAGTAAGATGCGAGAGAAAAACTTCAATATGTCGTCCCCCCAAGGAACAATCGGAGGAATCTGGCGAGTGCTACTCCTTCTTATCTTTGCTTTCGTAACCAGACGTGGAGATCCCACGGACGTTCGTCCGCTCTTGGGTTGAAAGAAGAGAGTCTTTTCCAGGGGGCTCATCCACCCCGAACACACAAGAAGGACCAGCTGTGAGTGGTGAGCCGGAAGGACTAGAATCAGTGAATGGATCGGCTTCGGTGCCACTAGGATGAACTTCTTCACTACGGTCATGCACCAGACTCTCCGAAGGGGTTTTGGGATGTTGTTTGATATGCGTGAATTTAAAGATATCGTGTTGGGTAGTTACGCCATCTTCGTGAATTTCCGTTGTTACTTCAGCTTCGGATACGGATTTGTTGTATCGCATCATCTCCATCATATTCTCAAAGTGGCCGCCAGGATCGGTAAAGCCTTTGGCACCTTGAGATCTTGCCAAATCATAGCTAAAGTCTCTTGCCTCTTGCATTTGCTGACGCGTTTGCTCCTCATTAGCTGCCAAACGATTGTTGTATAACGGAACACCGTAAATCTTGTCGACACCACGCCGCACCTGGTTCCGCCTATTGAACCACCAGTACAGTTTCGCTTTGCTGACCTCATCCTTGCCTATGTCAGCAGCATACATCTTGTCGTAGTTGCCTTTACGTGTATCTGAGACTCTACGTTGATAAGGCATCTTCTCGGGCTTCGCAAGCATCTCCTCTGTTAACTCTGCCTCACCGCTCTCAATCTGCTCAATGCTCCGCTGCTTCAACATATCCTCCAACTCATTCATCTCAACAGTTCGTGTTAGTTGCTTCTTCTTGCGCAAACTTGCCCCAAGATCATCTAACGTCTTCAAACCTCGTGGTCTATCAGTGAGATATTGTTCTTCCTTCATAATCTCATCATCGGAATAACCTATTCGACGAAGAATTTCAGTCTCTCGCGCACGTTCAAGTTGTTTTTTACGCGCCGTCATGTGCGTATTGGCGTCATCAATGGATTTGTGCAACTTGCCTTTGTAGTTTCGATACTGAGTGCGTGGAAGCTCAACAGTATCTAAAATATCTTGTAAGACATGACGCTCCAACTTAGTATGCTGCACCAGCTCATCCAAAGCCATTGTTCGTCTCTCGGGGGCTAAGACCCACTGCAAATCCTCGTCATCAATCCGACCGCGCACCAAAGAGTAAGGCTCATACTTGTCGCGCTCCCAGGAAAGTGGTAGGTTACCCGAGATAATGGTTTGATCGGTTCTCACGTTATCTAGCATCTCCATATATGTGTTGATATACCATCGTGGGGCTGAATGATCAGTTAACTCCGTGCTACTGGCATCCTTCGATGTTTCTACATACATGAGAGGCTCCGTGTTGACATCATCTTGCCGTGTGTTAATGCCTTGTGCTGTAAAATGAGGCTTCTTGAACTGCTCTTCTACTGGTGTCTTGTCTACACGGGGAATTCGCTTCGCTACATAGCGCACAGGGGCTTGGCGAGCAGGTCTAGAGGATGATGCTCCCATTGATGTGAGCCTATGGGATGTTTGTATGTATTTTTGCAGAAGAAATGAAAGCTATGAGAATGAAACAAAAAAAAAATTGAAACTAATTATATATCTAAAAAAAATTCTTCTACAGAAAGAAATACTGCAAAAGAAAACGCAAATTATAGACAAAAAATGAGGAGGTGCATTAAATTTTCAAAATTGAAATAAATTAGAAATACGAGGGAAAAGCGACTAGATAAAAAATTAAAACGAGTAATATATTTTCCAATTCTGTTTTAATGTATTCCCATATTTTTCCCGCTTGAGATTTATGTTTGTAATTATAAGAAAAACGAAAAAAAAGAAGGAAACACAACAGAAATTCAGTAAACTTGAGAAAAAAATGAAAATTATTCAAAAAAAAGTTCTCTATGATTTTGAAAAATGGTAAAGACCAGAGTCAAATGCTACCATTTTTCAATAGGCGCAGATTATGAAAGGTTGGATCCAATCATTATCTGTTGAAGGTCTTTCAGAGGCATCACCTCATGCCTTCACAGCCCGTTTGGAAGAAGCATTCTTGGCAACGACCTTCTTGGGGGATGCCTTTTTAGCAACCACCTTCTTGGGGGATACCTTTTTGGCAACGACCTTCTTGGGGGATGCCTTTTTAGCGACGACCTTCTTGGGGGATACCTTTTGGCAACGACCTTCTTGGGGGATGCCTTTTTAGCAACAGCCTTCTTCGCAACAGACCGCACCGCAGCCTTCCTCACAGAGGCTTTCT